TCCGGCTCACTCAACCTGTTTTATGCTATCCGGCCGAATACCGAATATGAAATCCTTATTCGTCTGAATACCGAATACCTAAAAACCGGAGGGAGAAAATAGAAAAAAAAACAGTACATTTTCGTATAAGTAATCTAAGCTTATTTTCGCCTAAGTGTTTATCTAAAAGATCAAAAGAATTATATGACAAGTGTTGTTTTTTAATAGATCAAAAAAGGTAACAAATCAAATGGAAACTACCTTCTTAATATGCACTTTAACTAACTTCTTATTATGCAGTTTAGGCACGACTAAATAGACTAACAAAGTCAACAAAGTACGTACTATTTGCAAATCAAAATAAAAAAGTTTTTAGAAGTTACGAAATGAAATAAACAATAGCTCCTACTTTATAAAAAAATTATTGCTTCCTACATTAAGATGTCGTAAATTTACATTTAGTACACTTGAAATCATCATACGTATTAAACGTTGTTAATTTGTAAGACAGAGTCCCATGAGAAGAATGAGAAACTCTAGGGGTTGCACTTTGAAAATAGATATTTGTTCATATTTGTCATTAGTACCAGATAGAAACATCCCGAAAGAGCTAAACGTGTCGCTACATCCTTATGTGTCAAGTTTTTTTGACGTAAATGGCAAATTTTAGATTATTAATGCACCCTTACTTTTACTTATTTAATTTTGGATTATTAATGCACTTATTATCACATAAAACCAAATGTGATAATAAGTCAAAAGTGGTTTTTGCTTTTACCACATGAAAGTTGTAAAAATAATTACGAACTACACGAAACAAACGCATATCGTCGGTGTTTTGTAGAAATAAACGGCGAAAGCGCCGTAGAAAAGTAACTCAGGGGAGTATGTTTTAGTTTTTCACGTCTGTTTGAAAATATCTACCTCCTGCTTTAAATTCCATTACAAAACTTAAACTTTATTACGGACGAAATATTTAAGAACGTCATTAAATCCTAAAACATGCTCATCTGAAAAAGCTTTTTTTTGTATGTATGTTACGCGATAACTTTGTACGAACTACGGCATTTGTGAACCGATTGTGGTGATTCTTTTTTTGTTGGATAGAGGGTACCTCAGTAGTGGTCCCATTTAAATTTCAAGAAAGTATTCCACCGCTAAGGGTGGCAAACTGGGCGACTTATGACTTTTGAGGTCGGTTTTTTTAGTCATCGAGTATATAACCAGAAATGGAGACGAAATGTCATTTAATTTGGTTGAAAACGATTCTGCCAAATCATTGTGACCACTGCGCTCCGATTGGCCAGCACGACTTCGAAACAATTGACGGGTGTCGTCAATTGTTTCACTTCAAATCGACCAGTCTGACTTGAGCTTTGCTATAATGGACGAAAATTGAAAAATTACATATTTTATATTTAATTACCGATGAAATGTGATTTTGTAATCAGATGTTTTTCTGTTTTTCCCACACTACCGAATGGAACAGCCCCCCCCATTGTTAACGATATTATCTTTATTACAATAAATACAGAATATTTTGGAATATACGCAGACATATCGGTTGTTGGCGCTGTTTTATTTCATTTTTCTAATTTGTGATTTCGGCGTGATATAAGGCCCATTTGCCTGATGAGTTGCCAGGGATGGCCCTTATTTCGTCTCTATGTCTGGTTATATACTCGATATTTTTAGTATTCTGTACTGAGATTATAAGTCTCCTAGTCAAGCATAAAAAGTGACTAATGTCGTTCATAGAATCTATAATCCTGTCCTGAAAAGTCGTCAATTTACCGATGTGGTCTTATTACACCATGGGTGTGAATTCATTGTCGATATGTATACATATACAGTTCAAGCTTGCTGGTTGCTAACGAGACCAGAATAGGTGGAGGTAATTTTAATGAGCTTTGGGACACTAACCGTACATGTTTGCATTTTTTATTAAAACTGAAGTATTACTTATATTTTATACATAAATTAAGTAGTTATCGACATTAATGTAATCAAGTAAAGTAATCATAATAAAACTAGCCAAGTTACGTTCTTTGAATTATTTATTGACAAAATTGTTTGTGGAACTCAAATTACGCGCGGTCACAGATTAACTGAAGTAAACAAACTGTCACTTTTACTTTTTTAACCACCGTATTTAGGACACCGTAATGTTCAGTTGTCAATGGACTTTCCATGGCAGTTTGTCTACATTTAGAATGTGGTCTTAAATATTTATAAAAATGCAGAAAAAATAACGTTCTCTCTAACTGCCAGCCTCACAACAAAACAAAGTTTCATTTAAATATATTCCACAGTTAAAATTAATATAAACTAACAAAACTCACTTCCTCAAGCTTAAAGCTTATCTTAGCCATTAACTAACATTTAGCGTTTTTCAAAACTAAACGTAAATGTGAAGAAACCGGTACCACCATCTGGCTACTTGATTGGTTAGTTTCTGACATTACCTTTCTTCGATTTATGAAATAAAAAACAACATAGTAGTAACATTTTTCGTCCTTCGGGACAGACTAAGGCGTCTAAGGGCGCCTTCAAATTAGACGCTTGTAGACATTGACTTACAAATAAATGGACGACGGGTCTAATACAAAAACCACGAAAAAAATGTCCCAAGTCAACCTATTCGAAATTTAAATTGTAATGTCATCGCAGTATCGCGCTGTCAGTAGAACAAATGAAGACTAAAGCGGAGTGTCGCGCTCTGTATACGATTTTAGCGCCTTACAAGTGCGGACACTTTTTAGCGCGGACCCGACGTCCATATAATTGTAAGTCAATGCTTATAGAAGACGCTTTTTGCAGTCACAATTTGTGAACTAAAAATTAAAAAAGCGCTATAGCCGCGCTACTGCAGCGCTTCTTTAAGGTTTTAATTTGAAGACTCCTTAACCCATACGGGAAAAACCATAACGGAAAAACATACTTTTGTTGCCATTTTCTACCTCAATAAATTCGGACGAAAAATTGCAAACTCATTAACGGTGGAAAATGACGGACCAAGGTAACTTTGTCAACGTGGTAATGTCGTAAACCTTATCGAATGTTTTGAGTCGTTCTAACTTGTCCAAGGGAACTTTTATTTCCGCCTCGGGTCGAAAGAACTTCCTGAAGAAAGGTCGGATACGCTCGGTAGTAGTAGTCTCGGCACTAGCTCCGCTGGACAACATGCGGTTGTAAATGTAATCTATAGTTATTGCAGTTACAATGTATGAATACACTTGACTGTTCTCGTTCTTCAGCTTCTCCATTTTTTCGAAGATCGTTGACCATGACAAGTCATTGTCCAAAATCTGCACGTTTACCAACACCTAGTAATATTTGGAAATAAATAAATTTTGTATAACGTTATTAATAATCTACAGTACCGGCACGCTATGATGGCCGTTTTGACAGATGACAATAGTGGGTCAAATCTCAATTCATTATCGAAAAAAATATACTCAAATGGCAGTTGCATCTATAAGATTTTAGGTAGGTATATAACTAGTATTGCAAGTGGCAGCTGATTAAAAAGTTTTAATAAAACGAAAATAAAAATGTTTACTTAATACATCGTCTATTCGGAACTACTTTGTTTTGCATTGAGCTTTGACTAGAGTTTGCTGGAGGTACAAGTTGTGTTAGCCAGCGATCCCATAAAGCCCAACTCACACTGGCGCAGAGTCGAAGCATCGCGACGCGTCATGTTTTCCAGCTATAGCATATTCATCACTATTTTCCCATTATTAAGGTACTTTGTGTTATACACATATGGAGACCGCGCGACGACGCGCGTCGACACTTGGTTGCAGTCAAGCGGCTTCGCGCGTTACTTGAGCACAGTAAAGCGTGAGACGCGGACCACACTGCGATCCGGGCGCACTAATGCGAGCGCCGTCGCGCGTGTGTCGACGTGCGTCGCCAGGTATTGTGGTTGAAAAACAGGACGCGACGCGACGCTTCGAGTCGCGCCAGTGTGAGTTGAGCCTAAGTGACGATCGTATTAGATTTCATTTTTTTTAATTTCGAAGAACAAATGCCGAATTGTTTCATAAAATTATACATTCCATACATTGACTTACAAATAAATGGACGACGGGTCTAATACAAAAACCACGAAAAAAATGTCCCAAGTCAACCTATTCGAAATTTAAATTGTAATGTCATGGCAGTATCGCGCTGTCAATCGAACAAATGAAGACTAAAGCGGAGTTTGGCGCTCTGTATACGATTTTAGCGCCTTACAAGTGCGGACACTTTAGCGCGGACCCGACGTCCATATAATTGTAAGTCAATGATTCCATAAATTATATTGCACGTGACAACAATGTACAGCAATTAGTAGCAGTTACGAATTAATACGAAACTTGATGAGCGGACAAACGTCAAAACGGCCATCATAGCGTACGAGTACTTTTAATATAAGGCCCGGGACAGCGCCTACTAAAGTTTGGCCAAGCTAAGTCTGAACCGGAATAAATTAGCATCCCCGTAAGAATATAATGTTGGCAACATTTCATATCTATGTTGTACTGTCAATTTCGTGGTATTTGAAGTGTCAAACTGTTAACGTTGTTCTTAGTTTATTCTTTTACAAATTAAAACAATGGTGAAACCTTTGAAAAGTAATGTGCGGCCGTGTGCGGCAGTTACTATTTAGAATGATAAGTAATTTCCGTCTAGTAAAGGAGCGGCAGGATTCTCTTTTTAGTAAAAAACAAAAATATTTGGATGATATTAAAGCACTGACAAGTAAGTTGGTTGTAATAGTCGTGATACTTTTGTATATTACTTTAAGTATATTAGTATAGTGTTGTTCTTATTTTTGATAGACGATTATTGTAGTTACTATTACACTGCGTACGTCTGTGTACGAAGGTTTTGTATTATAAAAATGTCGAGATCGCGGCATGAGTCTCAGTCAAAAAGGTACGTCACACACACGGATTTTGTTTATATTTTCTTGTTTTTCCAGGTGGAATAAGCGACGATTTTAAGCCTCTTGCAGAATGCTCTTCAAAATCTAAGTGATTTAGAAGTTTCAACCTCCAGTGAAAGTCGGTATGTGAAGAACATCGCTTTAACGAGTGGTAAGCTTATTTTATACATTTTTTTGAGTTACATGTGTAACTAAAATCTCATAATATTAATTCATTAAATCCCTTTTTTTTTCTTTACAGGAGTAAGTGAACGAACTCTTACGGTGATCAAGAAGGAAGGTCAGTGCAATCACGGTATTTGGAGAACTCCTGAAAAAAAGCGCGCGTCGCGGGCTACTAAACTTAACATTGATAATTTTGATCAGAAAAAGTGCTATTAGAAATAAAATAGATGAATATTATTTGACCAAAAAAGAAGTGCCAACACTTAGAAAATTGTTATTAGAATTAAAGGACGCTATCCAATTTGATGGTTGTTGGGAAACATTAAGGCGAATTTTATTGAATATGGGCTATGAATTCACAAAGGATACCGAAGAATGAACTGTACTCGTGGAAAAAGATGAAGTGGCTGCTTGGAGACATGGCACATAAGAAAAATTTTGGCATTAAAAAATGAGCCTGTGGTATCTAGAAAACCTATTGTGTATGTAGATGAAACTTATGTACATTTGAATTACAAGCCCAAAAAAATAGGCAAGGGCCATCTACTTCTAAAATGATTTCAAACATCTCAAAGGGCAAACGATTCATTATAGTCCACCCTGGCACAGAAAATGGTTTTGTAAACAACTGTACTAGTTTTTAGCACAAAGCCGAACACGAAGATTATCATGACGATATGAACGCAGAAATTTTTTCAAAGTGGGTCACAGAAAAATTGCTACCCAACCTGGAGTCACCAAGCATAATAGTCTTTGACAATGCTAGTTATCACAGCGTCCAGATAAACAAATCCGCAGTCACCAGTTCACGAAAAGAAGAAATAAGAGACTGGTTAACTACAAACAGTATTCCATGGTCAAATGATATCACCAAAAAAGAACTGTTGTGTTTAGGGAAAAGGTATAAACCTGATCCAATTTATTTAATTGATGAATTGTTTAAAGAACACGGTCATGAGGTTTTGAGGCTACCACCATATTTATATGTATATTGTCACTTAAACCCTATTGAAATGGTATGGAGCCAGGTAGAAAGAAAAATTGCTGATAAGAATGTGAAAAGTACCACAAACGAAATGATCACAAAAATTGAAGAAGCTTTTTCATCAGTAAGTATAGATGATTGGAGAAAATATGTAAATCATGTGAAACGGTTAGAAGAGAAACATCAAGAAACAGATAGATTACTGGACGACGATACAATTCCTTTTGTCATAAATGATCGGGATTTCGACAGTGATGACAGTGAGAATGTGAGCGGTGACGATAAATTTGAAGGCATGGAATATTTAGAATCCGACTTGTCAAGCGATGAAGAACAAATTTCGTAATTTGACTATGAAAAAAAAAAAACAAATAAATCGAAATTATTTAAAAACTTGTCTTTTATTGTTAACGATAGGTACATGGTCCCATTTAACACAGTATATACATATATATGAATACTTTATTCTTATTTTTACATTAGTAAGATAAGGACACAATTCAATTCAATATATGTATGTAACAATAACAAGTAATTGAATCATTTTAGTCAAGTATCAAGATTATAATTTGGTGTTCCCCTACACAAATTTATAAAAACTGCTAAATTCAGACCACTGCAGACTTAGCTTTGCCAGACTATCAAGGGATTTTTAGGTTGAATTTAGCTTAATGGTGACATTATAATAAAAATGGAAGTACATTAAATTACTACTCCGCGAACCCGGTGAAGGTTATATCGAGTAAAGTTGCTGCGCTTTGCAATATAAAACAATCAACAACCCCTAGGGATGCCTCGTAGAGAGGCGAAACACGTGTCGGGTATATTTTTGATGTAGGTGTCTGTGACTGTAATTAAGTACGCTTGTGTTATTAAATTAAACCTAAAGATGAAGATGATGAATGTAAGTTGGCACGTTACAAAAGTGCAAAAACAACACTAGGATTAATCATACATACTGCATATACAAGGTTATTTGTAAATTACTAACAACAACTATACCTATTACTAATACCATAAAGAACAACATTTTTTCCATGACTTTTAATAATTAATTACATTTTTAACCAACTTAAAAAAGGAGGAGGCTATACGTTCGGTTGTATGTATGTTTTATGTATATTTTCAGATACGAGGTGTGGCAGAAAAGTAAAGAGATTGATTTTTTATTTACCAAAGTTTTTATTTTTTCTAAACATCAATGTTATCCCCTTCAAGTGGGCAGCTACACACCGATTGAGACGTTGTTCCCATTATTGGTAGCAGCGCTGGAAGTCTTCAACCGGTACGGTCTTCAGCATGTTCGTCACACTCTTTTGGATGTTTTCCAAAGTCCCGAATTGACGTCCTTTGAGGACATTTTTCAGTTTAGGAAAAAGGAAATTGTCACAGGGACTGAGGTCAAGTGAATAGAGGAGCTGGGGAACCACAGGAATGCCTTTTGAGGTCAAAAATTATGTTATGGAGAGGGCAGTGTGACATGGGGTGTTGTCACGATGGAGCATCCGTTTGTCTGCAATGTCTGATCTCACGCAAATGACCCTTTTTCTGAGCCTTTCAAGGACCCCAGCACCCTTATTCACCTGAACTCACTCCCTGTGACTTTTAAAAGACATCCAAACTTCCAAAAGAGTGTGACGGACATGCTGAAGACCATACCGGTTGAAGACTTCCGGTGCTGCTACCAATAATGGGAACTACGTCTCCATCGGTGTGCAGCTACCCAAGGGAACTACTTTGAAGGAATAACATTGATGTTTAGAAAAAATAAAAACTCTGGTAAATAAAAAATCAGTCTCATTACTTTTCTGCCACGCCTCGTATCTGCGTCAATTGTGGACCAATTTTCACAATTCTTTTTTTTGTTTGAAAGGGTGCACTCTCATGGTGGTCCCGTTCTCACCAAGTCCATCTGATGAGCGGATTCCATGAAAATAGAAGGAAATCTCAAATTTTATAGGCATGTCCGTGTATTCACCAATGTCTCCATCAATTGTGCACTGATTTTGAAAATTTTTCTTTTGTTTGAAAAGGTATACCTACTCTCGAGGTGATCCCTGATGCTGTTCCGGGTTCGTTCCATGTATCTCAAATTACTAATTATTTTCCGCAAACAAAACTCGACTTTTCACTTGACACAATACATGTAATCAACAAATCACCGTCACCATGGCAACCAGAAAAGACAATATAAAATTTACAAAGGAGTCCGTAACGTTACAAAGTAGTCATAATCTGATGAGAGGATTCCATGGAAATCGAAAAAAGCCGATAACAAAACTTTTGAGGTCGGTTTTATTTTTCAATGAAAATGTTACAATTATACTTTAATACAAAAATAAAAATACACAAAATAAACAACTGTACAAAAGGCAGGAGTGTGGGTGGGGGTCGTCGAGGAGCACGCCTGCACATTTGAACTTACTACCAGATAGACACAAATCTAACTAAAAATGTCAGATAGTATACAATTAAAACCTAAAAGTTTGTTTGGTAAATTTATTATGTTCTGTAAAAAGTCGCGGTACGAAAATTGTTGTTTTTAAGATGTTAGTAATACTTATAGTCTCGCGAGGTTGTTAGTATCTTACAAATGACCCTGTATAAGCATTCTAATTAATGTTATGGATAAATTCATACGAAAACAAGACCTTGAAATGAATCTTAAGTTTGTGATAAGAATAAATAATTAAAGAAGTACTGCCTAATGAATTCACGGGCCGTCGCTGGTGACATTGCTTTGGTGAATTCCAAAATATTGTTTTTACAAGTTTGTTTTCACGAGTCGAACAGAATATCAGAAGGCTTTCTTACATTCGGCGCTAATATGGCTTATAATTGAAAGTGATACTCAACATCGGAAGTGTCATTAATGACGAAAGCGTTGAAGTATCTTCTGAAAATTTGGACTATGTCCACTTCGTCCTTGAGGTGCACTACGACAGTGAAACCCTGCTCGCTGTACCTGTTTAGCAGGCAGCTTACTTGGTCTACGTCCTTTATAGACCCGTCCAGAAGAATCGCCAATCTATGCGTCACAGGCATATGGCTTTCCACGCTAAAATAGAATAGAATATAATATCGGGAAAATAAAAATAAGTCATACCGTGGTAAGAAACATGCTATTAGTGATAATCATTTAGAATTTTTTTTTTTTTTCAAAAATAGAGACGAAATGTCATTTAATTTGTTTTAAAACTATTCTGCCATTTCATTAGCAACTGCGCTCCGATTGGTCAGCCCCACAGACCGCCCGAATTCGAAACAATTGACGGGTGTCCTCATGGGTGTCGTCAATTCTTTCACTTCAAATCGACCAGTTTAATTAGAGCTTTGCTATAATGGACGAAAATTGAAAAATGACATATTTAATATCTAATTACCAATGAAATTTGATTCCGTTTATTTTGTAATTAAACGTTTTGCTGTTTGTCTCCACACCACCGAATGGAACAGCACGCCATTGTTAGAGATATTTTCTTTATTACAATAAATACAGAATATTTTTAGAACATTCGGAGACGTACACACAGGTCAGTTGTTGGAGCTGTCTATATTTCAGTGCAAACGGGAGTTGATATTTATAAGTGATGTACCACTGATGAATTACCAGGAATGTATAGCCCTTATTTCGTATCTATTTCTGGTTATAAACTCGATGAATCCATGTGACAACATTAGAATGTCAAGGGATTATGATCATCACTAATAATAGTGTATGAAGAGTGTATATTATAAAATAAAGTAGTAGATATTGTCGAAATATAACGACATCAAATAAAAATAAAATTACAATTACCTTTCTTTTTATAATACTAAGTGACGGGACAGACAAATCGTGCGCCTTATGGTAAGCGATACGTCTGTCCATAACAGTTGCAGTGCCTCTCATAACTTTAAATCGCAAACATGTCGATTAATATTGTCGATAGAGTGACAAGAATTGGAGAGGTTGTAGGTTATTTTTCTGTATCCAATGGAGCAATAAACATTTTTGACCTAACTACACTTATGCCTTTCTTCCATGAGGGGTGAGAATATGCTCGAAATATGCATGTTTTAAAATGTTAATTTGTGTTTTATTATAGTTAAAGAAGTTGATTTATCTCATTGAATCCATCTTGGGGTCGTATTCTAGAACTCTACTCAATGCTCAAGTTAGGATTTGAGTATGGTTTAAAGTACTCGAAATCATACTCAAGTCCCTGCCATTAGGGTCGTATTTCCAGTGTTTGTGTTTCCAGTGCAATCCTGACTTGAGCATTGAGTAGAGTTGTAGAATACTCAATCCCCGGCTGGGCCAATCTAGAAAAATTAAATTTTCTATATGTATAGTCTCGGGTCTGGGTGGTTTTGGTATAGGGTGAAGATCATGTCAAGCTTGACGCTTAAGATTTAAATCCAACTCTAAGCCGTTTACGATACAAACGGTCCAAAGTACAAAGTGTCAACCTTGACGTGCTCTTGATTTGTTGTTTCCGATTTCCATAACACAAGTGCTTTAGCTACTTACTTTGGGATCAGATCAACGTATGTGATGTTATCTAATATTTATTATTTATTACGCGGCATCACTGAAAGGGCTGGTAATGAACACTGGCAATGATAGACTAACGTAACTACTTCACAACGTTTTTAACGAACAAAATCTATTATCACTCGATTAAAACAAGCAGTAACAAAACCTTATAAATCTACACATCACGTACTTGCTTGAACTAATAAATATAGCGTGGCCTCGTTTCCTCAGCTCGTACATGATGTAATACATTGCTCGGCGGACGCCAAATTTTTGATATGCCGTGCATTCGTCCAAAACAATGACTGGTGGTGCCCCTATCACGGCAACTGCGAAGTTCAATCTTTTCTGTTCGATGGGTTTTAAACGGCAAATTTTCATGTTCGACAAGGCACCCAGACCTGTTATGGAAGCTCAATTGTGGGTAAGTGGCAACGACGCGAGAAATTAAATCTCTCATTATTAACATGTTTTGTGTTTCAGCTCAATCTGACTGTTATCAATATTTACCACCTACTTTGAACTTGAGACCATTCTTAATGCAAGCGGCATAGAGTTGAATCTAAATCTTGAGGGTCAAGATCATCGAGTATATAACCAGAAATAGAGACGAAATGTCATTTAATTTGTTTGAAAACTATTCTGCCAAATCACTACTGTGACAACTGCGCTCCGATTGGCTAGCCCGAGTTCGAAACAGTCGTCAATTGTTTCATTTCAAATAGATATATAATATTTAATTACCAATGAAATGTGATTCCGTTTGTTTTGTAATTAGATATTTTGCTATTTTTCCCACACCACCGAATGGAACTTCCCCCCATAGTCAGAGATGTTATCTTTATTACAATAAATACAGAATTAGTTTGGAATATACGGAGACGTAGGTACACACAGGTTAGTTGTTTCCTCTGTACTATTTCGTTTTTCTAATTTGTGATTTCAGCGCAAGCGAGAGTTGATATTTAAAAGTGATATAAGGCCCATTTACCTGATGAGGTGCCAGGGATGGATGCCCGTATTTCGTCTCTATTTCGGGTTATATGTATACTCAATGGTCAAGATTGACGTTAGTGAAATTTCAAACAGTTTACATAGGTATTCGTTCAGTAAAGCTAATACTTATTAAGTATACAAGTTGGCCCGGAAGTGACGGTCAAAACGAAAATGAGGAGGTAGGTAGGGTAGATTTTTTCAATTCCTATTTCCAAAAGATTTGACTGCTACACTGTGGTCCGTAAATTTATGGTTCAAAAGTTATTAACTTTTTTTTTTAAAAGGTCGTGAAACACGAACAAATGTTTGCAATGACTTCGTCTTTTTTACGTTATATTTCTGAGGTATCTTTTCAACACAACTCTTTTCATAAAATGTGCCAGCGTTATGTTAATTTCAAATGGCCCTTTGGTGAATAATTTTTTATTGTTGTTTTCAAGATAACCTCAAATAGTCTGATAATAATTCCGTGTCAAAGGGATGTTTTTTTTTTTAAATTGAAAATGGAAAAATGGATGAAGGAACTTCTAAACTACGATACATCCTCATTTCGTTTAGGCCATCACTTCCGAGCCATCTTGTATGTGTCTGTATAACTCATAATAATAATATTTTTACTTTTATATAAGATACAAAACAGAATATTACAGAATCTATTTAAGTGTTTATTTCCTTAATAATAGTTATTGTGTTGGAAAAAAATATAATTAAAATGGTGAGCTACCTACCATGAGAGCCCTTTTCCTGTCACGAATTTGACTCTGCATAATAGACATGTAATATTTGCGTCGCAAACCAATGTTGCTGAATTCTCTCTCTGGATGCAACGCGTGCAGTGCGTTAATGGGTTTTATCGAAATTTAACACACGGGCGTTTTCTATGCTATCTTTGTATCGCGTGGCATTAAAAATGATTGAAAATCTTTTCCGGCGCTAAATCTTCGAAACAAACCGAGTATACATGCAGATCCAAACCCAGTTCATAGGAAAAAGGCGGTACTCTAAATACAGAACCTAGTGCTTTGATGTAGTTGTCGACTTCTTGGTGGATATGCGTGACAGGCACTCCCCGCAACAAACCGAGCATTGTCAGGCTATCGTACAAGGTCATCCACTTCGGAAGAGCGTCTAGATCGCAGCACAGCGAAACATTCTTTGCGTACTGTAATTGCGTACATATATGAACAGTTTAAAAATATAATTGGAGGAGCATTATACTACTAACTTTCATCAAAAGCTCTTTGACTGTCTTGTTCGACTGCTAGAAGAGAAGAGGTGGCACGAAAGACGTATGATTTTAGTTGTTCATGGCACCGACACGCCAAATTTAAGATATTCAGGTGGTATGTCACGCTCACGTTCTACTTTCATATTTACTAAAGTTCCTATATGACTATATCCAAATAGTATTTTGAAACCAACGTTTCGGGCTTTTTAAGGCTGAGTTTAGATCAAATGCGGTACCGCGTGAACTCCGTCTACTTTCAGGATATTATAGCATACATATATATATAGTGTAGTTTTATTATTTTGTTCCTTGTGATTTTTTGTGTTAAGTTAATATAACAAATACGTGTTTTCAATTATTTTTGTTGTGGTGGCCGTTGAAATTTTGGCTAAAAAGTTTGGGAACCTATGATAAGCATCTGTCCGGTCTTTGCCTTTTTACGTCTCAGTTTTTCAGTATAAAACTGACAAACAAATGCTCCTCCAAGTCACAATGCACCGCCACGCGATACCGCGCGATTATATGGACTTAACCTAATGGCCCCACGGTCACGGAAGAACCAAATATAGGTACCTACTTAGAATAATAACCGCACACGCTAAGTGAGGCAAATTGAAGCGCTCCGAAAGGGCCTACATGAGCGGGCGGGCCGTCAGTGCTCTAGGTCAACTTGCACCGCGAACAGCTCAAGAATTTTGGCTAAAAATGACGAAATGTGCGATAAATGAGTGTAAAAATACGTCAGACAAACATAAAATAGATACTAACATCACATTACACAAGGAAGTAACGCATTTCAACTTGTATTTTTATATAAATATTCACTAAAACCAATAATTAACCTACTACTAAAACTAGCCTACATGAATTTGATTTTTGTCTCACTTGTGACAGTTCGTTTGATATGAAACTATCATTCTATGCGTTATTATTCTAAGGGTACCTACATACCTACGTGATTTCAATTTCAAAAAAATAATATCATTTCCAATTCTTAGTAATCGCGAAAACCTAACAACTCGATCAATTTTGTATTTACAAGGTCATTCAATACGGAAAACAAGTCTGTATGTAAACTCAACTGGGTGAACTTACTTTGTGGGGCGAGTAATTTAGCCTGTAATTGGACATGGCCCAGACGTGTCCTTCGTCGGGCATTCTGTACCCGGCGAGGATCTGGCACAGCAACAGACGGCCGTGTCGCATAAGCCCCGACAGAGCCACCGCCTCGCTTTTGCCCAGACCCAGGTACACATTTTGCAACTTATTCATTCCTCCCTCAGTCTTACTTACATTGACAGCTAGGATGTATTCACCAAAGGTGTCAACTTTTTCGTGTGTGTCTGTAATAAGTGTTTCTCAATTTAATGCGATTTTAAGGCGTTATTATTAAGTATTAATTCGAACGGGTACAAGCTATTGAATTACACTATCACATGCATTATTGATTTTTTCCGTTTTTGTGAAATAACGCCACTAGTTTGCTACAATTGCTTATTAAATACAAAGATCGAACACAAAGAAAACTTCTATCGACCCAACAGGACTCAAACCTGCGACCACGGGATTCCGTCCCCATCGCTCTTCCAACTGAACTTACAGCAAGTAGACTTCGTCGCAAGTAGATCCGAGTCGACGAAATTCTCCTATGTGTCTATTCTTTGTTTGTAGATCTTTGCAAAGCAAAGCAAATCTTCGTTCCCACTAGTTCTATTGAGTAGTTTTATTATAGAACTACTGGGGATTTTTTCCCATTAGTTCTATTAAGTTCTATTTTTATTCCGAAAATTATTTTATCCATAATATACGGTTGAAGAATATATAACCTATACATATAATATTTAACGTAAACTTGATAGTAGTTATTACTCACTTTTAAAAATAAAATAAAGTCTCCGCGAAGCAAAATATCCTATTTAGAATACTTTAAAGTAGCGATGCGTTATTTGAATGTTACTAATACTAATTATTCGAATGAGCAAATTATTCGCCTAAGCACAGTCCTTTGACTCGAGTCGAATGATTACCGACAACGAACGCGCCTGCCATTCGATCGGGTGCAAAAGTCGATTTATTATGTCGCACCTCCACCACATCATTCACCATGTCCATATCAAAATAACCCTGTCTCCGTCACATTTAAGATATTTACCATATATCAGACAGAGCTACACAGAAATGCTGGAATCTGTGGATTGGTAATGAATGTCATTCAGATCATTCGAATACGAAAATTAGTAGGTTACTAATTTGTCATTCGAATGACAGGATTAATAATTATTATAAAGTACTTTCCGGGTCGCTTAGCCATGGGACACCGTGTATATATAATTTTATACGGACGTCGTTAGCGACAATCGACACTGTGTACTCATGGTAGGTACCCTGCCTTACACATCATAAAACTTATTTATTAATGCTAACGCTTTTTCTGCAAAATCTGATGTTCTTTCGCGATCACGTCGGTCTTTTCCCTCTGCACTCCTATTGAGTCTTCTTCATTGTGTTTATATCGATTTACATACAGCACATTGTAAACCGAGCATTTCCATATCCTTTGTATCATTTTATATTCCCACATAAGGAGCAGGGACATCATCAACATTGCGGTAAAAATAGTACTCAAGACCTCGTGTTGGATATTTGTCAAGCACGGTTTGCGTTTGAAACACTTTTGAAGTACACCACATTTATCTAAAACACAGAACAATATAAATACGTACAACGGGCGGCTGCAAGTAATCTCTTTTGAGTATTTTGAAATAAAAAATATACTGGCTACTATCGTGACGCATGCCCAGTTTTTTTTTTTTCAAAATTAGTGATACTCTTTTGTTTATTACGTTTCACGGGGATTTCAAAATGGCCACCAGACAAAAAAAATTAAAAATATAATTTCCCGCGAAAAAATGTCGGAAAATTAAACTAATGAAGCAACATTACAATCTAAGATCTGGCAATATGGTCAAATAAACGCCTTAGCATGTCCTGAAGGACGGACGGGAGGATGGACAATATGTCGTAAGAAGAAAACACAATGATTAAAAGAGCCGCGACTTTTTTTAACAGCTAATGTCCCTTTTTAACAGATATAACAAGTGCAAATTTCCCTTTGCAGGGATATTAAAAGAAGGAGCATTGGTATAGTCTGTTATAACATAGTTGGTAGACGTCATTTTCAGCTGTCTCTCGTATGTACGTAGGTACTTATTGTGCAAAAACCGTGTTCTAGTTAAAAATCACAAAACAGTCATAACGGTCCTTAGGTGGACAGGATACAGGGTGAATAGACGGAAACCCCGGTGGAAAGCCAGAGTGAAGTTCCTGACCTTATAAGGCAGTTGGCGTTCATGCTTTAAGTGAAAGGAATAACGGATAAAGTCGGTACAGTATAATAATCCCAACATCCTTTCTACAGAACGTCATTACTACAATAGAATTGTACGTAAGTAAGTAAGTAGCGTAAGTAAGTAAGCGACGTAAGTATCGCCCGACAAATCATCGGATATCGTGAGTGTTGTGTGTCGGTCTAGTGATCACCCTTGCGCACAAATAAATAATGGAGACCAAATGCTGACACCCGTACCTTCAGTCCCTTCGAGACCATGGACATTGAAACACGTTTGCACGTCGAGGCAAATAAAATATATTACGCGATTAAGTCCCGATTATTTAAAATTAAGTAATGTGTGAAAATCGTTTAAATTACATGTACTAACCACAACACTTATGAAGTGCTTTATTTAAGCAGAACTTTTTTACCCGAAAGATATTGCACTCGCTGTTGTATAGGAAAATCTTTCGTAATGTAACGAAAGCGCTGGCCATGTTGTATTGGGGTGATAGCGACATTATGTTCACAGCGTAATTGTAAATGTCGCCGTAAAACCACTTTGCTATGATCGTTGTCTCTCCTGTTAAGCATAGAAATAAGCAAACAAGTAATATGTAGGTACGCATTAATACTGTGGCGTAAAGTAGCCGAGTCACGCGGCTATGTGTGGACTGTATTATGGTGCTTGTAGCTGCAAATTGTCTGTGCTGTTCTCTCGGCTCGGCAGCGGCGTACGCCTTCGGAACACTAATACGGTGGGACCCACGATGGTTCTTTTGTTCGTTACATCTTGATAGAATTAATACACAAATATATGCAATAAAGAAAGAACAGAAATGGTAACAAGGTTATGAAATTATTTTATGGAAAGATAGTTTAGCTTAACCGACACTAGCAGTCACAGAAAAAAGAAACAGTGACCACGACCATAACGTATGTACAAAGCGAAAATGGCGAACTGAGCTCAACTATGCGGAACTCTGCGTACTGTTGGCATGCGTGCCACGCCTATTGCTTATTCTGTACTAGCAGGCAATGTCAATAACGACGACACAACACAGCCAGTTTTATTTCAGTCAGTACGCTTAGTATTCACTATCATTGTAGATTGAATACCATAGGCGGAATATCGAACGAATGCAGAAGCGATAGCCTAGATAGAAGAACGCTTGCTATCTATGTAAGAAATCCTGGGTTCATTTCCACCGAATGGTCTGTGTACTACAGTGTTAAGATAAATAAATACCACACTATCAGATATATGTGAGTATAGTTGTGCTTGTGTTATATATTTTATTAATTTTAGATATGTGTTATTACAGCGGGAAAATTGACCACATGAAAAAAATATTCAACACAAACGCAGCTATTTTGCACGATTAACTTGCTCTGGGCTCGCGGGGTAGCATATTAATGTACTACTTCTATTTTTATTGACGTAATAGTTAAGTTTAGGTGATAATTGTTACTAAAAGAAAAAAACGTCAAGAAACGAGAAATCTTCAAAGATATTTGAAAGACCTAACACGCATTGGGCCAGCATGGTGGATTAGAACCTAAACATCATCTAAAATAGACTTACCAAAAACAACGCTAACGATGATCAAAGCCATGGCATTCAAGGCGCTCCGTGGTCCCAGACTGAAGAAGAAAGCGATGGGTATGCAACCCATGCCGTAGATACATAGCATGAAAGGTATAGCCACTAAAATGCCAAACGGATCAAATAAGAGTTTTATATTTATTAGCAAAGGTAACACTAGACAACGATGACGGACGCCGTTAGTATTACTTGATTTTAAAGTATAAAAACTATTTCGTAATTAATTTTTATTTCTTAATTTAGATTTCCTTACCAAGCAACTTACGTTACTTCTTTAAAATTGTCACGAAAATAAGAAAATTAGAAATAAAAAAGTTAGGTGAGGCCGGTAAATTGTTTGAAGATGGAGAAATCAGAATTTCGAGTCAAAATTGAACACTAACGTTTTACGTGGTAAAATAATTAAAGAGACGGAGGATAAACTAAAAAAAAGATCATGGGGAGTCTGCTTCATCTCATGGAATGGTACATGAATGGTTCACTGAATTTCGTTGTTGTCGTACCAACACAGATGACGCCGAGCGCCCAGGAAGGCCAATCGAGGTAATCACTGAAGGTGTCCTCAACAAAATTCACGATACTGTTTTGGCAGACCGTCGAGTGAAGTTACGCGAAATAGCGGATCCTGTACAAATGTCAACTGAAACAGTTTTTTTATTGTTGCACGAACTTCTGAGCAAGAAAACACGTTTAAAAAAATTCTAAATATAAAATGGATTTTTCCGATTTAATTTTTTCAAGTGTAACGGCCTATCCATTGACCTATTTAGTAGGTCAATGGGCCTATCACAATATTTTTTTTTATGGTCACGATTGACAGAAGATGAGATTATAGAAACAAAAATTTCAATTTCCGTCGGTGATAACGAAATGCCGTTCACGTACCCGATTGCTAAAGATAATCAAAAACGTTTTAGGTGAATATCTCATGCGTAAATTTTGCGTGTCCAGGCTGAGAATCCTGGTGTAAAGTGAAGAAATATTAATGATTTCTTTTTAAAAGTTTAATTAGACGTAAAATGAGTTTAGGGCAAGAATTTCAGAATATTTGTTATACAATAATAATTAATAAGTGTTACGTCTTCAGATTACTTGGAAAAAAGTGACAACGCTAAATTAGCACTCTGTGCCTTATTTTGCATCAAACCTCAATGTCTGGATAAACCCACCGCATATCCTCAAGGTAAACATTTGAGTTTCTACAATTTATCTTTAGAAAACATTCCTGGAGATAGCGTAGTGTATCGTAGTTATTCAACTGCCAATGAAAACAACAATGAATTAATTTTTCGAGTTTGATATCACCGTTAAGTAAAATACAAATTTATGAGATCTCTAAGGTATAAACAAATCAAAGAGTAATTAAGTAATTTTACGTTATCTGAAAAATTATGAATATCTAATATCTTACTTAAGTTTATTGGGACAAATAAAACATAATACTTTAAACCAATTTTCGAAAGTGAGCGTTACATTCAAAAATTTCAAATCAATTTAAAATTTGGTGGCGTTTTTAAGTTAAGGTGGTAATACAAACGCCACCAAAACCACCAAATTTGAGCCACATAAGATAAAATCTCAAAAAATAAATTACTAGAAAAAAAGAAAAGGCTTAAAAATCAAACCGAGATTATTAAATTGTGATAACATAATGATAAAATTAATCTCTTAATTAGGTTTCAGAATACGGCCTAAAAAAACGGAATATTTAATGTCGCACGTGCCACCAAAGGGCATATAATTACGTTTTTGGCGGGAAATGGAAACCAGTGCCAATGTTTTTCGTTGCCAGGTCCCAATACACGACTGAGGCATGCGCGGGGCAAGAACGTAATGGTTTTTAATTAAACTACTTACCAGTTGCATATTTGCCGCCAAAACTACAATTTTCGCGTGGACAAAATTTGATCAAGTACCCAGTATCCCACAAATGCGTTATTATTCTAAGCCCACAAACTGGTAATTACAATACTTTCAATGATTTTAGTTAGTGCTTCTAATAGTGACTAGCATACATGGAAATGTTTTTCATAAAAGCGCACACATTTTACTAGAACATCTATTTTATACAATGAAACAGAATGTGGACACACCAGCAAAATTGAAAATCAGGACATTAATATTTTATATTAATTATTATTGTATAATAAATGTTCTGAAATTCTTGCCCTAAACTAATATTACGTCTAATTAAACTATAAAAAACAAATCGTATATGTATAAATGAAATGTTTCATTTTATTGCAAACGAGTCTCGGATATAGCAAAATCTAAAAAAGAATTACTCCACCAAAACTTACAATAAAATTCATTTGTTGATATTCACCCTTTTCCCACAGTTCTTCGTGACCTACCATTATCGAGGAAAATTCAGCATTTTCCATTGAAGAACTATTTCTGTGATCTGTACTTAAACGGTGTTATTTTCGCTATTCTCTTAAAGTACAAGGCAAGTTAAACATACCGACATCTTTAAAGGAGTAATAATCTGGGTTGGCTGTCATGGACATGATGATGAACATGACAGTTGTCATTAAAATCACTAGTACGCAGTACAACACCAGGTCCCAGAAAAACAGCGTCAACCAATATCGGGCTGGGGAAAAGTTTGCTGCATGAGACTGCAAAATGAGAATTAAGGTTGTTATTCTGGAGCTGACCCAATCTCGAATGGCACTGACTCACTATATTTTGTGTAAATTATATTTTCTTTTACAATTAAAACGGCTTAATATTGATAAGGTCCTCTTGTTTAGCTAGTGAAAATGAAAGAGACGTAATAAGTCCGTTTGCGTTATATATTACGTTCTGAATCCAAGAAATGACGACACGAAATTTCAGTGATCCTTTTATTTCTAGGTTTATACAAGCAATATTCGTATTTTCTCGTATTCGAATCGAACTTAGTGCACAAGCGACATCCGAAGTGGTCAGTTTTCTAAATTTCTATAGTCTCGGATTCGGAACGAATACGAATCGGAAACGCGCTAATGGGCACTGTTCATTTCTTTTCAAATTCTCTATTTCAAAATCCAATTCGAGGAATAAGGTTGCTCTTAATATTTTCTATTGTATTTGTCAATATTACGTTGAGATTCTTTACATTTTTAACCGACTTCAAAAAAGGAAGAGGTTCTCAATTCGACTGTATGTTTTTTTTTGTATGTATGTTACGCGATAACACCGGTATTTGTGAACCGATTTTCATGATTCTTTTTTTGTTGGAAAGGGGGTACTTCCATAGTGGTCCCATTTCATTTTGAAGAAAATCATCCACCTCGAAGGGTGGCTGTTCACGCATAAAGATTCATTTTTATAAATAGCGCCTTATTTTAATTTAGGAGCAATTACTTTAATGGTCGATTTTGCTATTTCTCCAATTCAAGGCGTTTTTCTCTCAATATACTTTGAGTAGTGTCGTAGTGAGAACCTATTTTTATTATCTCCAGTGTCAAGTCCTGTATAGTGGCGAACTAGGGAATATTTCAATAAAACTTAGCAAATAGACGTAATTCCACGTACTTTTGGGGTCGGTTTTTTTAGTACTCTGTACTGAGATTATTCAAAAAATAGTATTGACGTTTATTTGACATTTAATGACTTCATCAGTGGCTCTATAATTTTTTGTCCATGCGTAACGCAAAGCAAAAACGCAAAAAAAATTAAATGACACTTCAGCAACGTTTGTAAATATTTTTTTTTTTTTTAATATATAATAGACACACGCTTGGCCACAATCTCACCTGATGTTAAGCGACGATGTGACCGACGATGGGACGCGTTTGCCTAAAAAATGCCTATTCACTCTAGCCTTGAATAGCCCCAAATTGTACTTTTCGGGAAATACATATGCCGGTAGAGCATTCCATTCCTTTGCCGTACGCATCAGAAAGGAGGAGGCAAAGCGCTTAGTGCGAATAGGTGGAATATCAACGACATAAGAATGGAGTGCTCCGGACCTTCTAGTCGACCGAAGGAGGAACGGTGAGGGCGGAACCAAATTGAAAAGTTCCTGCGCACACTCCCCGAAATGTATCCGATAGAAAACCGACAAGGAGGCTACTTTTCTGCGATGATCGAGATTTTGGAGCTTCGACTCCACAAGAGGATTATTGTTAATAAGTCTCTTTGCTTTACGCTCCACCGAGTCCAAGGCAGCTAACTGGTATTGGGCAGAGCCGTCCCAAAGGTGGCAGCAGTACTCCATACAGGATCGAACTTGTGCTTTATACAGATTTAAAAGCTGTTCAGGTGTGAAGTACCGCCTGACCTTGAAAAGTATGCCTAGTTTTCTGGCAGCAGTTTTTGCCAAGCACTCGATGTATCGCCCAAAGTTGAGGTTGGATGATAAGTCCAGACTAAGTAGCTCAAGGTGGTCCCTTATCGGCACGGATACACCTCGGAAAGTCGGAGTAAGGTGTAGGGGACTCCGTTTTGATGAGAAAAGACACGCCTGTGTTTTAGCCGCATTAAACCTGACCCTGTTAGCATCTCCCCAGTCGGAAGCAGCTTTCAGACTCAGGTTCAACCGGGTGACCATCGCCTCTCGCTTACACCGGATCTCTTCACTGTTGTCTCGGGCGTCTGGCACATAACTCACCGCCACTGTGCTGTCGTCTGCGTACCCAAAGATACCGGGCATCAGCAGCAGGTCGTTGATATGCAGCAAGAATAGAGTGGCGGAGAGGACAGATCCCTGAGGTACACCGGCATTTATACCATGAGGAGCAGACGAGTAACCATCTACAACTACACGGATTGACCTATCCTTCAGAAAATCGCCTATCCATGTGCAAAAGCCAACAGGAATTCCGTAAGCTGGAAGCTTGTTTAACAGGCTATCATGCCAAACCCTATCAAAGGCCTTTGATATGTCGAGAGACACGGCAAGCGATTCACCGCGTTTCTCGACAGCCTCGCTCCATAAATGTGTGGCGTACGCAAGAAGATCCCCAGTAGATCGTCCACGGCGAAAACCATATTGTCGATCACTGAGGAGATCGTTATCTTCGAGGTATCCAAGGAGACGGCTGTTCAATACACGCTCCATAGTCTTACAGAGTATGGAGGTGATTGCGATAGGTCGATAATTAGATGGGTCGGCATGGCTACCTTTCTTAGGTACAGGCTGTACATTTGCAAGCTTCCAGGATTTCGGGACTTGTCCAGAACTCATAGAGAGGCGATACAGGCGAGTCAACACCGGAGACAACTCGGGTGCACAGTTCTGCAGGACAATCGCTGGGACTCCGTCAGGGCCACTGGCTTTGTTGACGTCTAATTTGCGTAAAGCTTTCAACACCTCTTTTTGACGGATAGTGATTTCGGGCATTTCCGAGTCACATCGAGGTAGTGTAGGTGGTGTTTGCAAAGTAGCGTCAAGACGGGAGTTGGAAGCAAAAAGAGAAACAAAAAGATTTGCTTTCTCTTCAGCGGTATGAGCCAGCGATCCGTCATCTCTCATTAAAGGCGGAAGGGATGACCTGCAGAAATTCGCTTCGACCGATTTAGCGAGTGACCAGAATGCTTTACTCCCCGATGGGTATGAAGCTAACCTGACCCCAATACGACTAATATGGCCGAAGCGAGCTTTCCGTATCGCTTTTTTGCAGGATCTAGCGGCTTTATTAAAGGCTTTCTTCAGACGGAGGGTTTCCGGTGCTTTGCGATCTCGAGCATCAGCCCAAGCCTGGTACGCAGATTGCTTTAGCGTTTCCGCAGAAGCACACTCAGCGTTAAACCAAGGGCGAGCTTTGCCGCTGGAGGAGACTTCGAAATACGGAATAAAGTATTCCATAGCCCGAATAATCACCTCAGAGACGGCAGACGCGCAGCACGTCGGATCGTCAGAAGAGAAGCACAGCTGCCGCCAGGGATAAGATGCAAAGAAATGCCGCATCGCATCCCAATCTGCTGACTTGTATCGCCACATCCTCCTAGTACTTCCCGTACTGAGATCGGGCGGGGAGTAGACAGATACAGATTTCACCAGACAGTGATCGGATGTCCCTAGTGGGGATGAGACCGATACTTGGTAGCGGTCTGGATCGGTTGTCAGCAGAAGATCCAGGCAATTGGCAGTGTGGTCGTCAACGTCCGGTACCCTGGTAGCGCAACTCACCAGCTGGGTGAGGTCTAGCGATAGAGCACATGCCCGCGCCTCTCTTCCAGCGTGGTCGGTTTTTTGGTATGGGAACAACCATTCCTGGTGATGGGCATTAAAGTCCCCCAAAAAGACAAGTTGTGCTTTAGGATACCGTTGTTGGACTGTTTCCGCCGAGCTGCAGAGATGGTTGAACAACCTAGTCGTCTCCGGGTCTCCAGAATGCGACCGATACACACTGGCGTAGACAATTTGTTCCAGTCCAGTGTCTACCAGAACCCACATTACAGAGAGATCGGGGTCTTCAAGGTCACGGAGACGTTTAGAGCAGATGTCATCACGAGCGTAAACGCAGGTACCAGCGCGCTGCTTAAATTTGTGCTCCAGAATGTAACCTGGGTAATGCAGATACGCCGTGTCCGAAGGACATCTAATTTGGGTCTCCGTGAGGAAGAGCATGTGAGGCCTTTCAGTCTCAAGATGGTGGTGGACAGATGAGAGATTGGAGTGCAGACCTCGGATGTTCGAGAGGTGCACTTTAAGTGAAAGGACGTGCATCCGCTGTTTAGCCTTCCTCAATTTTCTTGACCTTTTCATATTAGGGTTACAGTGAATGGGGAGAGCGAAGGCAGTTGTACGAGACACTACTACTGAAAGTCATGCGGCACATACCCTATATGGTACGCCGATGGGAAACTAGACTGGAGCGCGCGGGGACGCCCGAACCCCCCCGGGAGTGGCCATCGGCCATATAAACATAACCTTACTATTTCTACTTGTCTACAGTTATCTGTGCTTACCACTATGGAACCTAGTATCAGTATGACAGCAAAAAAAAAAAGAAAACTTGGAGAGTTTGTGTAGTCCCCCGTATATCTCCAATTTGCACATTACTTGTAAAGTTTATTTAGTTATATCATTATTCTTGTGCTATGAAGCATTCTTATAACAAAAATTTTGTAGTTGCATTAAAAAGTATCCAATCAATTTTTTAGATACACGCTGCAAAACAGTGTGAAGTAAGAATGGTTGACAAGAGTACAAATTATAGAATAAGACAAACAACAAATGCTAGGACGACAGCTGAAATACTTTCTTCTCGAGAAATTTCTGCAACAGTTTCCCCATTTCGCCACTCACTCACTGAGATTGGAGAGGATACAGAAGAGGTTTGTGAATCATTTGGCGTTCTACACTGGACAAGCTAAAAAACTTCGTTTATATAAATCCAGTCTCACAAAGTTCCAAATGCTGTCATTGGAGAAGCGACGGGACATTTTAGATATGATGTTTTTATATAAATTATTAAATAATCAAATTAAATGCAGTTTAGTTCTAAACCTTATATAATTTAATGTTCCCCGCAGACTACCTAGATTTCCCATAAAGCCTCTTTGTAAGCCTTTTCGCAGAACTGTTTTAGGCGCGAATTCTTCCTTTTGCTAGGCTTTGCCAGTTGTACAATGATCACAACGCAACGATTGATTTACATTTCTTCTCTGCAGTAAGACACACGCGCGAAATATCGTCACCTTCCTAAAAGAAGGTCGCTTAGTCTTAAGATATTAACACTATTATTGTCTTTGTAAGTGATTTATATGGTTAAATTAATGTTTACACTTTTTGTAAGTTTTTTTTTACTCTGCAACAATTTATTGCGCATGTAGTGTCGGTCTGTAATAGATTGTGCACTTAGTTTCAAGTTTTTTTTTGCATGTATGTTTTTCTGATATTTTATTGGTGTGACAATTGTTGACTGAGGAAATAAAAAAAACAGCTACTCCTTCTCTCTTTGGTTCTACATCCGAAATGGAAGAATGAAGTTTACTATGAACAAGGCAAAAACTTAAACTCAGCGTGCCTCTTGGCATAGGCCTCATCCAGACCTTTCCAGTGCGTTCTATCAAGAGCTACTCTTCTTCAACATGGTTCCGCAGTTAGCTTCAGCTCATCCTTCCATCTTTGATGTTGACACCCTCTATTACGTTTTCTATCACTGGGTACCAATTGGTGACTCCTTTGCTCCATTTTTCCGGCCCACGTAACAGCTATAGCTAATTAGTTCTAAATCTCTAAAGATGTTTCTTCGACATTTGAACGATTTTTGCTTTTTTTACTTCTAATACATTAAGCTTGTTTTAAGTAAATGTATTCCATAATCATTACCTTTTCGACTTTTGGCAATTTACGAGATTTAGCTTTTATAAAGTTCATGATTCCGTCTGTCATATAGCTGCACTAAATAAAACAAGAAGAAACAAAAACGCGTGCGAAAACAGTAGAACGATAAAACCCCAATACTTTGTTGTTGAACAAAAAGTAACGAAATATATCTTTAAGTTAGAATTTCGTTTTTGACGTTTTAAGAGATGTCAATTTACTTTTTTAAATATTCCCTGCCGCAAAGGTTAACATTTATAGAGCCATTGATGACGTCACCAAATAGGTAACTTAAATAAGCAAAATTTGTAAGTCAATGAGCAAAATGATAAAATATTCAAAGTAGTTAATATGTAGAGGTCAAAAATTGTGAACAATGCCCATTCTTGTTAGATCAAATGACAACAAAAAAGTTCATTGAAAAGTTACCTTATTAGTCATATTTTGAAAAGTTTAAATTTTAAATTTTTTAAATATTATTAAAATAATCAGAAACGAGTTTTGAAGTTATAAAACTATGTTACTACTAAGGCATTTCCTTTATAGTGTTTCCAAAGTAATTAATTAAATAATGTTAATATTATTTAGCGTATTCCCATAAAGTTGAAATATTGTGTTGGGTCACTTTCGTTCTAAAGGAGCGAACTCTTATTCATTGTATAACAAGAATACCTACCTGGGTATGTCGTATGAGCCCATATTCTTTGGACGGAATTAGAGTTATGTGAGCGACAGTGAGTATCAACAGAAATTCAATCAGGAATGGAGGCGTGGAAGCGCCTTTCAGCCACTGTAATTAAACGTTTATTTATCGGTTTACACGGATTCACTGCTGAACACAAGCTTCCTCTTGAATACGCCAACTCTCCCAGTCTTCTGCCACTCGCATCCAACCGCTGCTAAAATTTTGTGGTTTATAGGGGAATCTATTATGGTGAATAACTTTCTCATGGCTAATCGACTATGTACATATGTTTATGTATATGTATGTGTATCTAGTAGTAATTGAATGGCGACCACGACAAGGAAAACGTAGTGTAGGACGCCCAGCAGCAAGGTGGACGGATGATCTGAGAAAGATGGCCGGCAGCGCAGCGGCTGGACACGTTTATACAAGTAATACATATTTTAATAATAGGGGTTAAAGTATGAAATTGCCGATTTGTACTGAAAATCTAAATTGTTTATTTTTTAAATTTTTAACAAATTTATTTAATCAAAATAGTTGCCATTATTATCTATACATTGCTGCCATCTAATGGGAAGGTTATTAATGCCTTTGCGATAGAACTCCGACGATCTAGACTGCACAAACTGTGTGAAAGCATTTTGTACTGCCTCCTGGGAAGAAAACTTCTTGTCACGTAGATAATTGTCCAAATCACGAAAAAAATGGTAGTCCGTTGGAGCAAGGTCTGGTGAATACGGAGGATGACGAATGGTTTCTAACTGCAGTTCCTGAAGGGTCAAAATGGTTTCTCGTGCTGTGTGAGGTCTCGCGTTGTCGTGGAGCAATAATGGTGAAGATCGATTCATGAGTCGGGGCTGTTTTACTGCTAGTTTTGTCAACATGGTTCGGAGTTCGGCACAATAGACATCTGCCGTTATTGCTTGACCAGATCGGAGAAAACTATAGTGAATAACACCATGCTGAGACCACCAAACAGTTACCATTACCTTTTTATTGGTAAGTTTTGCTTTAGGACACTGTTGTGGCATTTGGGACCTGGGGTCAGCCATTCCATTTTTCTTTTCCGGCTATCATAAAGAATCCACTTTTCATCACATGTTACAATTCGATCCAATATTCCTTCATTTCTGTACCGGTTCAACAAGGCAACACAAGTTTCAACACGCGTTTCTTTCTGCAGATCAGTCAAATCATGAGGCACCCATTTTTCGTATTTTTTTATTTTATTGATTTGACGCAAGTGAGTCAATATTGTGGGTAAGGTAACGTTAAACCATGCCGCTAATTCCTGGGTAGTTTGACTAGGATCGGCTTCCACTATCTCTCTTAATTCATCGTTATTCACCTGTGTGGGTGGTCTTCCTCGTGGCTCGTTCTTTAAGTCGAAATTTCCATCACGAAAGCGTTTAAACCAAAATCGCACGGTGCGTTCATTAGTAGACCCCTCTCCAAACGCAATTGATATTGCGGGCTGTTTCTGCCGCGTTAGTTCCGCGTCGGAACTCGTATTCAAAAATCACTCGAATTTTCGCAGTATCCATCTTTCTTGTCTAAATTGAATAACAAAAACAATTGAAAGTCGATATTCAAATGTTTCAAATTAAAAAAAAAGAAAAATCACAGAAACCATTTGAAAAAAGTTTCATTCGAAAACCTCAAACCATGAAGATTCTATGAAAATTCAAAGAACCTATTGCAATAAAACGGCAATTTCATACTTTAACCCCTAATATATAGGGCACTGTCACATAATTGTACTACAATTACTATGGCGGATTTAAAGTTTTGAATAGGCTTCAGACTCATCAAGTTGGTCCATATGGAATAATCTATGTAATAACAACCGTAGGTTTTAATAACGGTTTCTAGTAACGTCTAGTAACGTCGTCTTGGTTTGTCTAGTGTAAAACTAGAGGTCATAAAAATAAGGTACCGCAATGGCATCCATAATGAGAGGATCATTGATGAACTCGATGGAGGCGTCTACGATACCAGTGTAAAAGCGTATCAGCGCCATGTAGACCCTCGCCAGAGAGCGTGCCGCAGACGCGCGGTCGGGGTGCAGGGGGCTGTACAGAGCCTGTATCTGAATTTGCAGAATATATTTATTTCACAACTTAATTGATTATTTTCATGATGACGATATTTAAAGAGCTTAAAGTAAGCTTATTATAATATTACTCATATTCGTACCATGACAATCCTGTCAACCAAGTAATGTATTATTGCAAAAGTGATTGAAAGAACGAGTGATTTCCCAATATTGTCTAATTCTTACTAAAAATAGGAAAGAGATAACTATACTTAGACTATTTTTTCTTAGACTATTTCATCCTCTAAAGATCTATATAATGCCATCTCTTTCTTTTTTGATGTTCCGAATCGTCTTATCGTAGTATAATGTGTACTTAATGTTATTTACATTACGAGAATTTTGACTGTAAAAAAAAAAAGTGTATAATAATAACATCTATTAAAATCACGTTGTTTCCAATAATTATTCGGCATTTTCATGAACAAAAATAAATAAAACAAGCTGAGTCTTGATAGTCACGTTGTGAATTCGGAACTATAGTCTAGTGTCAACTGTTAGTTTCGCCAAGGAGCATATAGATGGCGCTGTTATAATTTCACGAAATAAACATCGCGTATTTTTATAAAACGAAAAACTATTTATTAATTAATTAAAATTAAATATTAAATAAAAAAATTAACTAAATATTGAAGAGATATATGTAAATAAATAAGTACAACTTAACTTTTAATTATTACAAATCAATATTATAAGATAATAAAACTGAAAATAATATTGTTTCCATTCCATCCGTGTAACTATTTTAAGATTGCTGAATTTTACATAAGAGCAATATCACTTTAATGTCAATGTCGCGTCATAGTACGAACTGAGTGAATGAATAGTCACAAAGCTGCCAATAAAACATCATAGTTTTAACATTACAAAAAAGCTTACTTTAAGCGCGTTATGGTACGAAAAGTCAATGTAGGGTTAAAGTAATAACGTGTTAAGAGGTTTGTGGTAGGCCCCCTGTGTGTACGTCACGTAACAGCTAGTTCAACGCGGATCTTTACAGTGAGTATGTGCAGGAACAAAACCGAAAGTATACTTAATAAAATACGTAAGCTTATTTTCAAATGTGATTACAATAACAATCCAACCGCAAAACAACAGACGAATATTAGATGTATGTTAGGTGGTGGCGCCGGTACAAGCACCAGTGTTCGACATATTTTTAACAGACTTCAATAAAAAAAAGGAGCGAGGTTATACGTTCGGCTGTGTGCATGTTTTCCGATTTCTCCGTTAATTGTGGACCGATTTTGAAATTCTTTTTTTGTTTGAAAGGGTGCACTCTCGTGGTGGTCCTTGATACCGACGGTGCTGTTCCGGGTTCACAAATAAAAAAAATGTTTTCCATTAACAAAACTCAACTTTTCACTTGACACTGCATGTAATCAACAAATCACCGTCACCATAACTACCAGAAAAAAAGTATACGAAGTCCAAAAAATGCAAAGAATCCGTAATCCATTGTCACCAAGAAGACAGAATCTGATGAGGGGATCCTATGGAAATCGGAAAAGCCGATTAGCATACTTTTGAGGTCGGTTTTTTTTTTCAATGAAAAAGTTAAAATTGTTTTAAATTCATTTCTTATAAATTTAGGACAAAATTTTCTATCTTAGTAACGCGTTTCTTATTGGTAAGTGTCAGTTACTGAGTGTTCATTATTGGTGACTCTCGATTTCGGGTTAGGTTAGGTTAATTAGTGGATTTTTGGTGTTCATCACAGGACAATTAGAGAAATTTTAGTTTAGGTTTCTTTTTTACAAATAATTATATTAGCTTTTTTATGAAACATACTAAACAAATAAACAAAACAACAATAACATACTAAATAAATAAATATTAATTAAATTTTTATTGAAGTGATATTCAATTATTTGTTGTGAAATTACTCCACTAGCTTGTTATAATTATTAATACAAAGATCGAACAACTCAGAAAAAACACTCGGAAAAAATTCCTTCGATCCGGTCGGATTCGAACCGACGTCTTCTTGCATACCGTGCCAGACGCTATACCAACTAAGCCACGGAACGAACCAACGGACCTCACGAATTT